ACAAAAATTCTAAAATGAAGGAGACCCTTTCTCCAAACTGCAGCTGTTCACTCCCTGTATCGCTCTCTAGTGTCCTCTACTGTTCCCAGGGTGGTACGGCTATAAGCAGGCAAGAATTCTACCACTGAGCCACCAATGTTGACACATATCTTTCCTTGCCTTTGTGGTGTGTGTGCTGCAAGGCTGTTACATGCAGCTGGAAGAGGAGCAACACAAAACATGAACTGCATTGGCCCAGAATCAGACCCGGGTCTCCTGCATGGGAGGCGAGAATTCAACCACTGGACCACCAATGCTGCCTCACATGTTCACCTGCCCTTGTGGGCTCTGAGAGCTGCCAGGCGGTTACATGCAGCTGGAAGGGGAGCAACACAAATTGCATTGGCCAGGAATCAACACGAATCCACAAATGCTGACCTGCTTATAATTTTGCCATTGGCCGGGAATCGGACACGAATCTCCCACGTGGCAGGTGAGAATTGTGTGTAAGCGAGGCGCAACTCTGCGCAGGAGTTTAGACCGGGTTTGTTTTGGTCTAATGAAAAATCTATTTTAGTTTCTCAAAATAGCAACGCGCCAGCAGTGCGCCTCAGAAAACCTTCTTTTTTAGACCAGAACGCCTATGGGTGCACATATGAGGGCTAATGCATTTGCTATTTAAACAGCGTAGCGCAACGCCTCAAAACGACTCTTGTGTCAAGCTCAAACTAGCAATATAATGTTGCGCCGCGTGTATGATAGGGCACTAAACCATCAATGCTGAAACACATGTTATCCTACCCTAGTGGGGTGTGATTGCTGCTATGCTGTTACATGCAGCTGGAAGAGTAGCAACACAGAACAGCAACTGCATTAGCTGGCAGTCAGACCCAGTTCTTCCACAAGGCGGGCGAAAATTCTACCACTGAAACACCAACGCTGGCACATATGTTCTTTTGCCCTTGTGGGGAGTCAGTGCTGCAAGGCAGTTACATGTAGCTGGAAAAGGAGCCACACAAAACAGCAACTGCACTAGACAGGAATCAAACTCATGTGTCCCGCATGGTAGGCGAGAATTCTACCACTGAACCACCAATACAGATATACTCATATTGCTGCCCTAGTGGGTTGTGACTGCTACAAGGCTGTTACCCAGAGCTGGAGGAGTAGAATCACAAAACAGTAATTGCATTAGCCGAGAATCAAACCTGGGTCTCCCACGTGACAGGTGAGAATTCTACCACTGAACCACCAATGCTGATCAATGTTGTTTCATGCCTTTGTGTTGTGTGAGAGCTAAAAGGCCGTCAACCAGAGGTGGAACAGGAGCCACACAAAACAGCAATTGTTATAGCCGTGAATCGACGCCAGGCCTCCCGCGTGGCAAGTGAGAATTCTACCACTGAACCACCAATGCTGACTACTAATACTGCTGTCCTAGTGGGGTGTGATTGCTGCTAGGCTGTTACACAGAGCTTGAAGAGTAGCAACACAAAACAGAAATTGCATTGGCCGGGAATCGGACCCGGGTCTCCAGCATGGGAGGCTAGAATTCTACCTGTGAACCACCAATGCTGATATGCTCATACTACTGTCCTAGTGGGGTGTGACTGCTGCAAGACTGTTACCCAGAGCCGGAAGAGTAGCAACACAAAACAGGAATTGCATTGACCGGGAATCGGACCCGGGTCTCCAGCATGGGAGGCTAGAATTCTACCTGTGAACCACCAATGCTGATATGCTCATACTGCTCTCCTAGTGGGGTGTGATTGCTGCAAGGCTGTTACCCAAAGCTGGAAGAGTAGCAACACAAAACAGGATTTGCATTGGCCAGGAATCTGACCCGGGTCTCCCGCGTGGCAGGCGAGAATTCTACCACTGAACCACCAATGCTGATATGCTTATGCATCTGTCCTAGTGGGGTGTGATTGCTGCAAGGCTGTTACCCAGAGCTGAAAGAGTAGCAACATAAAACAGGACTTGCATTGGCCGGGAATTGGACCCGGGCCTCCCGCGTGGCAGGCGAGAATTCTACCACTGAACCACCACTGATGATATGCTCAGTTTGCTGTCCTAGTTGGGTGTGATTGCTGCAAGGCTGTTACCCAGAGCTGGAAGAGTAGCAACACAAAAGAGGATTTGCATAGGCCGGGAATCGAACCTTGGTCTCCCGCGATGCAGGCGAGAATTCTACCACTAAACCACCAATGCTGTTATAATCTTGGATCTGTCCTAGTGGGGTGTGATTGCTGCAAGACTGTTACCCAGAGCTGGAAGAGTAGCAACACAAACCAGGAATTGCATTGGCCGGGATTCGGACCCAGGTCTACCGCGTGGGAGGCGAGAATTCTACCACTGAACCACCAATGCTGATATGCACATACTGCTATCCTAGTGGGGTGTGATTGCTGCAAGGCTGTTACCCAGAGCTGGAAGAGAAGCAACACAACAAGGGAACTGCGTTGGCCGGGAATCGGACCCAGGTCTCCTGTGTGGGAGGCGAGAATTCTACCACTAAACCACCAATGCTGATACGCTTAAATTGCTGCCCTAGTGGGGTGTGACTGCTGCAAGGCTGTTACTATGAGCTGGAAGAGTAGCAACACAAAACAGGATTCGCATCGGCCAGGAATCGGACGCGGGTCTCCCGCGTGGCAGGTGAGAATTCTACCACTGAACCACCAATGCTGATATGCTTATACAACTGTCCTAGTGGGGTGTGATTGCTGCAAGGCTGTTACCCAGAGCAGAAAGTGTAGCAACACAAAACAGGATTTGCATTGGCCGGGAATCAGACCCGGGTCTCCCGCGTGGCAGGCGAAAATTCTACCACTGAACCACCACTGCTGATATGCTCTGTTTGCTGTCCTAGTTGGTGTGATTGCTGCAAGGCTGTTACCCAGAGCTGGAAGAGTAGCAACACAAAAGACGAATTGCATTGGCCGGTAATCGAATCCGGGTCTCCCACGTGGCAGGCGAGAATTCTACCACTCAACCACCAATGCTGCTATGCTGATAGATCTGTCCTAGTGGGGTGTGATTGCTGCCAGGCTGTTACCCAGAGCTGGAAGATTAGCAACACAAAAGAGGAATTGCATTTGCCGAGAATCGGACCCGGGTCTCCCCACTGTGAGGCGAGAATTCTACCACTGAACCACCACTACTGATATGCTCAGTCTGCTGTCCTAGTGGGTTGTGATTGCTGCACGGCTGTTACCCAGAGCTGGAAGAGTAGCAGCACAAAACAGGAATTGCATTGGCCGGGAATCGGACCCGGGTCTCCCGCATGGCAGGCGAGAATTCTACCACTGAACCACCAATGCTGATATGCTTACACAACTATCCTAGTGGGGTGTAATTGCTGCAATGCTGTTACCCAGAGCTGAAAGAGTAACAACACAAAACAGGGTTTTCATTGGCCAGGAACCGGACCAGGGTCTCCCACGAAGCAGGTGAGAATTCTACCACTGAACCACCAATTCTACCACTGAACCACCAATGCTTATATGCTTATACAACTGTCCTAGTGGGGTGTGATTGCTGCAAGGCTGTTACCCAGAGCTGGAAGAGTAGCAACACAAAACAGGAATTGCATTGGCCGGGATTCGGACCCGGGTCTCCCGCATGGGAGGCGAGAATTCTACCACATTACCACCAATGCTGATATGCTCATACTGCTCTCCTAGTGGGGTGTGATTGCTGCAAGGCTGTTACACAGAGCTGTAAGAGAAGCAACACAAAAAGGGAACTGCGTTGGCCGGGAATAAGACCCAGGTCTCCTGTGTGGGAGGCGAGAATTCTACCACTAAACCACCAATGCTGATATGCTCATACTGCTCTCCTAGTGGGGTGTGATTGCTGCAAGGCTGTTACCCAGAGCTGGAAGAGTAGCAACACAAACCAGGATTTGCATTGGCCAGGAGTCGGACCCGGGTCTCCCGCGTGGCAGTAGAGAATGCTACCACTGAACCACCAAAGCTGATATGCTCATACAACTGTCCTTGTGGGGTGTGATTGCTGCAAGGCTGTTACCCAGAGCTGGAAGAGTAGCAACACAAAACAGGATTTGCATTGGCCAGGAATCGGATCCGGGTCTCCCACGTGGCAGGCGAAAATTCTACCACTAAACCACCAATGTTGCTATGCTGATAGATCTGTCCTAGTGGGGTGTGATTGCTGCAAGGTTGTTACCCAGAGCTAGAAGATTAGCAACACAAAACAGGAATTGCATTTGCCGGGAATCGGACCCGGGTCTCCCCAGTGGGAGGCGAGAATTCTACCACTGAACCACCACTGCTGAAATGCTCAGTCTGCTGTCCTAGTGGGTTGTGATTGCTGCACGGCTGTTACCCAGAGCTGGAAGAGTAGCAACACAAAACAGGATTTGCATTGGCCAGGAATCGGACCCGGGTCTCCCGCGTGGCAGGCGAGAATTCTACCACTGAACTACCAATGCTTATATGCTTACACAACTGTCCTAGTGGGGTGTGATTGCTGCAAGGCTGTTACCCAGAGCTGGAAGAGTAGCAACACAAAACAGGATTTGCATTGGCCAGGAATCTGACCCGGGTCTCCCGCGTGGCAGGCGAGAATTCTACCACTGAACCACCAATGCTGATATGCTTATGCATCTGTCCTAGTGGGGTGTGATTGCTGCAAGGCTGTTACCCAGAGCTGAAAGAGTAGCAACATAAAACAGGACTTGCAATGGCCTGGAATTGGACCCGGGCCTCCCGCGCGGCAGGCGAGAATTCTACCACTGAACCACCACTGCTGATATGCTCAGTTTGCTGTCATAGTTGGGTGTGATTGCTGCAAGGCTGTTACCCAGAGCTGGAAGAGTAGCAACACAAAACAGGAATTGCATTGGCCAGGAATCGGACCCGGGTCTCCCGCGTGGCAGGCGAGAATTCTACCAGTGAACCACCACTGCTAATATGCTCATACTGTTGTCCTAGTTGGGTGTGATTGCTGCAAGGCTGTTACCCAGAGCTGGAAGAGTAGCAACACAAAAGAGGATTTGCATAGGCCGGGAATCGAACCTGGGTCTCCCGCGTTGCAGGCGAAAATTCTACCACTGAACCACCAATGCTGTTATAATCTTGAATCTGTCCTAGTGGGGTGTGATTGCTGCAAGGCTGTTACCCAGAGCTGGAAGAGTAGCAACACAAACCAGGAATTGCATTGGCCGGGATTCGGACCCGGGTCTCCCGCGTGGCAGGCGAGAATTCTACCACTGAACCACCGATGCTAAAATGCTTAAATAGCTGCCCTAGTGGGGTGTGACTGCTGCAAGGCTGTTACCCAGAGCTGGAAGAGTAGCAACAAAAAACAGGATTTGCATTGGCCGGGAATCAGAGCCGGGTCTCCCGCGTGGCAGGCGAGAATGCTACCACTGAACCACCAAAGTTGATATGCTCATACAGCTGTCCTAGTGGGGTGTGATTGCTGCAAGGCTGTTACCCAGAGCTGGAAGAGTAGCAACACAAAACAGGATTTGCATTGGCCAGGAATCGGATCCGGGTTTCCCGCGTGGCAGGCGAGAATTCTACCACTGAACCACCAATGTTTATATGCTTATACAACTGTCCTAGTGGGGTGTGATTGCTGCAAGGCTGTTACCCAGAGCTGGAAGAGTAGCAACACAAAACAGGAATTGCATTGGCCGGGATTCGGACCCGGGTCTCCCGCATGGGAGGCGAGAATTCTACCACTGAACCACCAATGCTGATATGCTCATACTGCTCTCCTAGTGGGGTCTGATATCTGCAAGGCTGTTACAAAGAGCTGGAAGAGAAGCAAGACAAAAAGGGAACTGCGTTGGCCGGGAATCGGACCCAGGTCTCCTGTGTGGGAGGCGAGAATTCTACCACTAAACCACCAATGCTGATATGCTCATATTGCTCTCCTAGTTGGGTGTGATTGCTGCAAGGCTGTTACCCAGAGCTGGAGAGTAGCAACATAAAACAGGAATTGCATTGGCCGGGAATCGGACCTGGGTCTCCTGCGTGGGAGGCGAGAATTCTACCACTGAACAACCAATGCTGATATGCTCACACTGCTGTCCTGGTGGGGTGTGATTGCTGCAAGGCTGTTACCCAGAGTTGGAAGCGTAGCAACACAAAAGACGAATTGCATTGGCCGGTAATCGAATCCAGGTCTCCTGCGTGGGAGGCGAGAATTCTACCACTGAACCACCAATGCTGATATGCTCATCCTGCTGTCCTAGTGGGGTGTGATTGCTGCAAGGCTGTTATCCAGAGCTGAAAGAATAGCAACACAAAACAGAAATTGCATTGGCCTGGAATCGGACCCAGGTCTACCGCGTGGCAGGCAAGAAGTCTACCACTGAACCACCAATGCTGATATGCTCAAACATCTGTCCTAGTGGGGTGTGATTGCTGCAAGGCTGTTACCCAGAGCTGGAAGAGTAGCAACACAAAACAGGATTTGCATTGGCCAGGAATCGGACCCGGGTCTCCCGCGTGGTAGTAGAGAATGCTACCACTGAACCACCAAAGCTGACATGCACATACATCTGTCCTTGTGGGGTGTGATTGCTGCAAGGCTGTTACCCAGAGCTGGAAGAGTAGCAACACAAAACAGGATTTGCATTGGCCAGGAATCGGATCCGGGTCTCCCACGTGGCAGGCGAAAATTCTACCACTCAACCACCAATGCTGCTATGCTGACAGATCTGTCCTAGTGGGGTGTGATTGCTGCAAGGTTGTTACCCAGAGCTAGAAGATTAGCAACACAAAACAGGAATTGCATTTCCCGGGAATCGGACCCGGGTCTCCCCAGTGGGAGGCGAGAATTCTACCAATGAACCACCACTGCTGATATGCTCAGTCTGCTGTCCTAGTGGGTTGTGATTGCTGCACGGCTGTTACCCAGAGCTGGAAGAGTAGCAACACAAAACAGGATTTGCATTGGCCAGGGATCGGACCCGGGTTTCCCACGTGGCAGGCGAGAATTCTATCACTGAACTACCAATGCTTATATGCTTATACAACTGTCCTAGTGCGGTGTGATTGCTGCAAGGCTGTTACCCAGAGCTGGAAGAGTAGCAACAGGAATTACATTGGCCGGTAATCGAATCCGGGTCTCCCGCGTGGGAGGCAAGAATTCTACCACTGAACCACCAATGCTGATATGCTCATACTGCTCTCCTAGTGGGGTGTGATTGCTGCAAGGCTGTTACACAGAGCTGGAAGAGAAGCAACACAAAAAGGGAACTGCGTTGGCCGGGAGTCAGACCCAGGTCTCCTGTGTGGGAGGCAAGAGTTTTACCACTAAACCACCAATGGTGATATGCTCATACTGCTCTCCTAGTGGGGTGTGATTGCTGCAAGGCTGTTACCCAGAGCTGGAGAGTAGCAACATAAAACAGGAGTTGCATTGGCCGGGAATCGGACCTGGGTCTCCTGCGTGGGAGGCGAGAATTCTACCACTGAACCACCAATGCTGATATGCTTACACTGCTGTCCTAGTGAGGTGTGATTGCTGCAAGGCTGTTACCCAGAACTGGAAGAGTAGCAACACAAAAGACGAATTGCATTGGCCGGTAATCGAATCCGAGTCTCCTGCGTGGGAGGCGAGAATTCTACCACTGAACCACCAATGCTGATATGCTCATCCTACTGTCCTAGTGGGGTGTGATTGCTGCAAGGCTGTTACCCAGAGGTAGAAGAGTAGCAACACAAAACAGGATTTGCATTGGCCAGGAATCGGACCCTGGTCTCCCACGTGGCAGGCGAGAATTCTACCACTCAACCACCAATGCTGCTATGCTGATAGATCTGTCCTAGTGGGGTGTGATTGCTGCAAGGCTGCTACCCAGAGCTGGAAGATTAGCAACACAAAACAAGAATTGCATTTGCCGGGAATCGGACCCGGGTCTACCCAGTGGGAGGCGAGAATTCTACCACTGAACCACCACTGCTGATATGCTCAGTCTGCTGTCCTAGTGGGTTGTGATTGCTGCACGGCTGTTACCCAGAGCTGGAAGAGTAGCAACACAAAACAGGATTTGCATTGGCCAGGAATCGGACCCGGGTCTCCCGCATGGCAGGCGAGAATTCCACCACTGAACCACCAACGCTGAGCCATGTTGTTCTTTGCTTTTGTGTTATGTGAGTGCTAAAAGGCCGTCAACTAGAGTTGTAACAGAAGGCACACAAAAAAGCAATTGAATTGGCCGGGAATCGGACCCGGGTCTCCCTCGTGGCAGGCGAGAATTCTACCACTGAACCACCAATGCTGATATGCTTATACAACTATCCTAGTAGGGTGTGATTGCTGCAAGGCTGTTACCCAGAGCTGAAAGAGTAACAACACAAAACAGGGTTTGCATTGGCCAGGGACCGGACCAGGGTCTCCCATGTGGCAGGCGAGAATTCTACCAGTGAACCACCAATGCTGATATGCTCATATCGCTGTCCTAGTGGGGTGTTATTGCTGCAAGGCAGTTACCCAGAGCTGAAAGAGTAACAACACAAAATAGAGTTTGCATTGGCCAGGAATCGGACCCGGGCCTTCCGCGTTGGAGGCGAGAATTCTACCACTGAACCATTAATGCTGATATGCTCATGCTGCTGTCCTAGTGGGTTGTGATTGCTGCAAGGCTGTTACCCAGAGCTGGAAGAGTAGCAACACAAAAAAAAATTGCATTGGCCGGGAATCGGACCCAGGTCTACCGCGTGGTAGGCAAGAAGTCTACCACTGAACCACCAATGCTGATATGCTCAAACATCTGTCCTAGTAGTGTGTGATTGCTGCAAGGCTGTTACCCGGAGCTGGAAGATTAACTATACAAAACAGGAATTGCATTGGCCGGGAATCGGACCCAGGTCTCCCGTGTGGAAGGCGAGAATTCTACCACTGAACCACCAACGCTGATATGCTCATACTGCTCTCCTAGTAGGGTGTGATTGCTGCAAGGCTGTTACCCAGAGCTGGAAGAGAAGCAACACAAAAAGGGAACTGCGTTGGCCGGGAATCAGACCCAGGTCTCCCGCGTGGCAGGCGAGAATTCTACCACTGAACCACCGATGCTAAAATGCTTAAATTGCTGCCCTAGTGGGGTGTGACTGCTGCAAGGCTGTTACCCAGAGCAGGAAGAGTAGCAACAAACAACAGGATTTGCATTGGCCGGGAATCGAACCCGGGTCTCCCGCGTGGCAATAGAGATCGCTACCACTGAACCACCAAAGCTGATATGCTCATACATCTGTCCTAGTGGGGTGTGATTGCTGCAAGGCTGTTACCCAGAGCTGGAAGAGTAGCAACACAAAACAGGATTTGCATCGGCCAGGAATCGGATCTGGGTCTCCCACGTGGCAGGCGAAAATTCTACCACTCAACCACCAATGCTGCTATGCTGATAGATTTGTCCTAGTGGGGTGTGATTGCTGCAAGGTTGTTACCCAGAGCTAGAAGATTAGCAACACAAAACAGGAATTGCATTTGCCGGGAATCGGACCCGGGTCACCCCAGTGGGAGGCGAGAATTCTACCACTGAACCACCACTGCTGCTATGCTCAGTCTGCTGTCCTAGTGGGTTGTGATTGCTACACAGCTGTTACCCAGAGCTGGAAGAGTAGCAACACAAAACAGGTATTGCATTGGCCGGGAAACGGACCCGGGTCTCCCGCGTGGCAGGCGAGAATTCTACCACTGAACCACCAATGCTGTCATGCTTAAATTGCTGCCCTAGTGGGGTGTGACTGCTGCAAGGCTGTTACTCAGAGCTGGAAGAGTAGCAACACAAAACAGGATTTGCATTGGCCGGGAATCGGAGCCGGGTCTCCCGTGTGGCAGGCGAGAATGCTACCACTGAACCTTCAAAGCTGATATGCTCATACAACTGTCCTAGTGGGGTGTGATTGCTGCAAGGCTGTTACCCAGAGCTGGAAGAGTAGCAACACAAAACAGGAATTGCATTGGCTGGGATTCGGACCCGGGTCTCCCGCGTGGGAGGCTAGAATTCTACCACTGAACCACCAATGCTGATATGCTCATACTGCTCTCCTAGTGGGGTGTGATTGCTGCAAGGCTGTTACACAGAGCTGGAAGAGAAGCAACACAAAA